AGAAGCCGGGCGGAAGTGGGGCAGGAAGAGGGCGGAAGTGGGGCGAGAAGCCGGGCGGAAGTGGGGCAGGGAGCCGGGCGGAAGTGGGGTGAGAAGCCGGGCGGAAGTGGGGCAGCGGCGCCGCGGGACGGAGCGGGGGCCATGGAGGTGAGGGCGGGGGGGGACAGCGGGGACCGGGAGGGGGGACACAGGGAGGGACACGGGGCTACCGGGACCGGGGACCGCGGCCCGGCCTGACTCGCTCCGTGTCTGCCCCCAGGATCCTGGCCCCGGCCCCGACCCCGGCCCCGACCCGGCCGCCGAGAGCCCGGCGGAGCTGAGCCCCCCGGGGCTGGAAGGTGATTCCAGGCTGGTCTGGGGGATCCGGGGTGCGGGGAGGATCCGGCGGCGGAGGTGCCGCGGGGGTTTGGGTGTCCCGAGGTGTGCAGAATCCAGAGGGTTTTCCCTTTCCTGAGGTTTGGGGGGCCCGGGGTAGGAGGGTACTGGGATTCGGGATGTCTGAGATTTGGATTTGGGGTGCCCCAGGATTTGGGATGCCCCAGGATTTCGGGTACCTCGGGGTCAGGATTTGGGGTATCCCCAGAATTTGGGGTATCCCCAGGATTTGGGGTGCCCCAGGACGGGGGATGCCCCAGGGTTTGGGGTGCCCCCTCACGGTGCCCCCCCCCCCCCCCCCGCCGCTGCTCCCAGTCACCCATGGTGAGGGCCGGGGGTCTGCGGCGTGGGGGGAGTCTGGCTCTACCCACCCCACCTATGGCTGTGGGTGATCCTGGTTTCTCCTCTTACCCCCCCCAGGTGCAGATCTACGAGCTGGAGGAGCACAAAATAGAGACGTGGAGAGGTGAGGGGGGTCTCTGCCGGCCGCCTCCCGCCCCCCCCGGCGCTCCCGGAGCCCCCCGGCGCCGTCCCCCGCCCACCCCCCTCAGTCCCCCCCTCTCCCCGCAGAGGTTTATCTGCAGGACTCCTTCAAGCCCCTGGTCTGCATCTCCCCCAACGCCAGGTACCCCCCGGGGGGCAGGGAGGGGGGTCACAGCTTGGGGGCCATTTTGGGCACACCCCAAATCACCCTCCCTCCCTCCCGCAGCCTCTTCGACGCCGTGTCCTCCCTGATCCGCAACAAGATCCATCGTCTGCCCGTCATCGACCCCGACTCGGGGAACACCCTCTACATCCTCACCCACAAACGCATCCTCAAGTTCCTCAAGCTCTTTGTAAGTCCTGCCCTTGCCTCATGGTGATGGTGGGGGCCACCCTGGGACCCCCAGCCCGGGCTGTGCCAGGTCCTTGTGCCAAGTTCTACCCCGAGCCCCTCGGTCTGGGCTGTGCCAGGTCCTTCTACCAGGTACCACCAGCACTGGGCACAGGGTGGGCACAGCTCTGGTACCTCCCCACATGCTGTGGGTGCTGGGGGACCCCCAGGAAGCTGCACAAACCCTCTGCATCGCCCCTGCCCGGGGGTCCCACATCCCCTGCCCCACCCCCTGGCACTCTGTGCTTTCACCCCCAGCACGGGGGGGGTCTGTGCTCAGCCCTGTGCCCCCCTTGCTGTCCCCGCAGATCGCAGAGGTGCCCAAGCCCGAGTTCATGGCGCGGACGTTGGCGGAGCTGCAGATCGGCACCTACAGCAACATCGCCGTGGTGGGCACGGGCACCCCCATCTACGTGGCCCTGGGCATCTTCGTGCAGCAGCGCGTCTCTGCGCTGCCCGTGGTGGACGACTCGGGTAAGGACGGGCTGGCCTGGCCTTGGCTGTCCCCAGGTCACCTCCGGGGGGGGCTGTGTCCCCTCTCGAGGGCCCGGCAGCGCCGCTGAGCCGCTCCCCTCCTTCCCCAGGGCGGGTGGTGGACATCTACTCCAAATTCGATGTTATTGTGAGTACCGGGAGGGGCAGTGCCTGGGCTGGGGGGGGATGCCGGGGAGTGGTGGTGGTCCCCAAGGTCCTGGCTGTGTCCCCAACGCCTGTCCCTGCCCCAGAACCTGGCAGCTGAGAAGACCTACAACAACCTGGACGTGACGGTGACACGGGCGCTGCAGCACCGCTCCCACTACTTCGAGGGTGTCCTCAAGTGTTACAAGCACGAGACGCTGGAAACCATCATCAACCGCCTGGTGGAGGCCGAGGTAACCGTGCCCGGGGTGCCAGGGTGGGGTCTGGGGGGGGTCCCCACTCCCCCTCAGCCCTTCCCTGTGTCCCCCCTCCCCAGGTTCACCGGCTGGTGGTGGTGGATGAGAGCGACGTGGTCAAAGGGATCGTCTCCCTCTCAGACATCCTGCAAGCCCTGGTCCTCCCACAGGGCCCCTGAGGTGGTGTGGGGGGGGGTTAATTCCTCCCCTGGAGCCCCCCACTCTGCTCTCCTGCCACACTGTGCCCCCCTGGGCTGGCGGAGGCACCCGGGGCTGGACCCCACTCACCAGCAGCATCCAGCAATAACTCCCAGCCCTGGGGTGGTCCCCACTGCCCTTCCCTGGGTGGGGGGAGCCCACGGCCCCCCCTGCACCCCAAGGCCGTACAAGGTGCTGGGGGCAGCCCCCGACCCCCCTGGGGTCACCCACCTCCGTGCCAGGGCTGTTCCCAGTGCAGACCCTCATCCCCGCCCCCTCTGCCCCCCCAGGGTTTCACTGGCTTTGGTGAAACCTCCTCAGCTCTCTCTGGCCCAGGGACCCCCCCCAGCCCCAGGGGTTCCCCCCGGGCCCCCCCAGGTCCCTCGGGCACATCCGCACCCGCCACCGCTTCGTGTGTGGAAAAACCCCACAAATAAACACAGACCTGGCACCACCCCGGCTCGGTGTGGGGCACGGGGGGCACCAACGAGGGAGGGGGTACCCGGGGAGGGGGCGCGACCCCCCCACGCCAGACAGGGGGAATCTGCTGAGCTCAACCAGACCCTAAATCCCTGTTTGTTCCGCCTGTGGCTTTTCTAAAAGGCCGGGATTGGGGATGGGACGGGCACAGGGACCCGGTGGGACATGGGGACCCTCCGGTGGGCACCGCGGTGAGCGGGGGGTGTCGGGCAGGGGCTGGGGGAGGCCGGAGCGAGGGGCTGCGTGTCGGGGGGCTGGCGGGGGTCGCGGGCAGGCGGGAGGCCGAGGTTTGCTGCCGGTGCCCACGGGGGAGGCGCGAGGCCCGGCCGTGCTGAGCGTGGCACATTCCTGGCCGGGGGGGGAGAGGCCGGGCCGGGGGACCCCGTCCCTGCCAGCCCCGGGGTCCGGCAGAGGCTGCGGAGCGAGGTGAGCGCCGGGCAGGTACCGGGGGGCCCCGGGGGGGCTCGGGGGGGCCGTGCCGGTTGCCATGCCGCCGCCGGAGGGTTGCTAAGCTCCGCTCGGAGCCCGCGTGGGCTGCAGCGCTCGGTGCCAAACCCGCCATCGCCTGCTTGTCGCAGGGGGGGAAGGGATCCCGGGGGGGGGGCACACGCACACGTACACGGCGACAAGACACCCCCGGGACGGCCGGTGGGGTCCCCGCGGCGTGCCGGGCTCCCGGCCCCCCGGGGGGCTCCGAGCCCCGCGGCGGCACCGGGCGGGACACGGGGGTCCCCGGGGGAACGCGTGCGGCCGTGGGTGTGTGCGGGCGGGCACGGGGCTCTGCCGAGGCTCCACTGAGCCCCCCCCCTGCACGGGGACCCCCCTCCCGGCCGGGGCCATGCTGGGGGGTCCGGAGCGGGGCGCGGGGCGCCTGCGGATCTGCGAGCGGACCAAGCTGGTGCTGGTGGAGATCGACACGGTGGCGTGTTGCAGCTCGGGCGCAGGCATGGCTGCGGGGTGCCGGCCAGAGCCCCCCTGGACCTACCGCCGCATCGCCGGGGAGTACGCGTGAGTGGGGACGGAGGGGCGGGGGGTCCGGCCCGCGCCCCCCACCCTCCCTCCCCTCACCCCCCATCTCTGTCTTGCAGGTACCTGGAGAAGCGCTTCGTGGCCGAGCTGGCCCCCCCCCTGGCCCCCCGTGCCCCCCAGTTCCTCCCGACGCCTGCAGGACTTCGCCCCCCGGCCCCGGGTGCCCCCCACCCCCTGCCCCCCACGACAGCCCGAGGGGACGGGGGGCAGCGGACCCTGGGGGGGGAACCCACCGCCCACGCCCCGGCCTCCGGTGCCGGTGGGCAAGTTGTGCCCCCCCACCTACGAGGTGCACATGCAGCGGGTG